TAAAAATTAATAAAAATTAATAAAAATTAATAAAAATTAATAAAAATTAATAAAAATTAATAAAAATTAATAAAAATTAATAAAAATTAATAAAAATTAATAAAAATTAATAAAAATTAATAAAAATTAATAAAAATTAATAAAAATTAATAAAAATTAATAAAAATTAATAAAAATTAATAAAAATTAATAAAAATTAATAAAAATTAATAAAAATTAATAAAAATTAATAAAAATTAATAAAAATTAATAAAAATTAATAAAAATTAATAAAAATTAATAAAAATTAATAAAAATTAATAAAAATTAATAAAAATTAATAAAAATTAATAAAAATTAATAAAAATTAATAAAAATTAATAAAAATTAATAAAAATTAATAAAAATTAATAAAAATTAATAAAAATTAATAAAAATTAATAAAAATTAATAAAAATTAATAAAAATTAATAAAAATTAATAAAAATTAATAAAAATTAATAAAAATTAATAAAAATTAATAAAATTTAATAAAAATTAATAAAAATTAATAAAAATTAACAAAGATTAAAAAAGATTAATAAAAATTATTAAAAATTAATAAAAATTAATAAAAATTAATAAAAATTAATAAATATTAATAAAAATTAATAAAAATTAATAAAAATTAATAAAAATTAATAAAAATTAATAAAAATTAATAAAAATTAATAAAAATTAATAAAAATTAATAAAAATTAATAAAAATTAATAAAAATTAATAAAAATTAATAAAAATTAATAAAAATTAATAAAAATTAATAAAAATTAATAAAAATTAATAAAAATTAATAAAAATTAATAAAAATTAATAAAAATTAATAAAAATTAATAAAAATTAATAAAAATTAATAAAAATTATTAAAAATTAATAAAAATTAATAAAAATTATTAAAAATTAATAAAAATTAATAAAAATCAATAAAAATTAATAAAAATTAATAAAAATTAATAAAAACTAATAAAAATTAATAAATATTAATAAAAATTAATAAATATTAAAAATTAATAAAACGAATAAAAATTAAATAAATATTTTTTTTTTCAAGTATCGCATGAAAAAATTTCTCACGAGTAACAAAAACTGTTATTCACTTTTAATAAATGAGATTTGAGAAATTTCAGCGAAGCAGGATCGGGTCAGCTAGTGTAATTATATTTTTCCAGTGCGATAACTGGTATTTTTTTGCCATCTTAGACTTTCTTTCAACTCTGTAACTCTTCCTTCCCAACTTTTTTCTTCTTTTTGCAGTATCGATACTATTGCACCTTCTGCACCACTGTATAACGTATGTCCAAATAGTTTTAGCACAAAATTTGGTCTAACAAGTATTAGAAATTAAAAATTTAAAAAAACCGACTTTAAAAACATCTTAACCAAATTTATATGGGACCACCCCTAAGGTACCCCTTACTAACAAAAAAAAGAATCATATAAATCGGACAAGGTAATAAAGCATTATCGCTAAACATACATAAAAAATGAAGAGTTTGAGGATTTTCTCACGCACCCAATTATTAGATTTTGACCAAATTTATATGGGACCACATAAAAAAAAATATCGAGCCGAATTGAGAACCTCCTCCTTTTTTGTCGGTTAAAAAGTAGGTTATAATGATAAAATATCAAAATGGCTTTGGAACCAAAAAAATGTTTATTTTTTTTTGACATTTTTTAGACAAATCGTTTTTGTCAGTTGCATTACAATGTCTTACAAGTTAGAAATAAGAAAAAGCATTTATAATTTGGTTGTACGGAATTATAAGGCTGAAATAGCATTTTTCAAAACCAAAATATTTCACGCAGAAGTATTTACCGTCCTATATTGCTGAATGTGAAGAAGGAATACCTTGTCTAAGTCTCCCAAAAAGTGAAAAACCAAGAATGTTTACTCGAGAAAGAGCAGGAAGATTTGTAAAAATTGCAAAAGACAGAGTAGGGGTTTCCATAAGAAAATTAGCACGTCAATTAAGTTGTTCAAAGAGTACAGTGTCTCGGGAATTAGCAATAAATGGTCAAAAATATCTAAAAAGACACAAATGTCCTAAATATACCCCAAAATCAGTTAGCACGGATACCAAGATGCTGTCGTCAACTAAAGCGGATACATTTTGCAAATGAAAGAGTCATTATTATAGAGGATAATATTTTACACTTGCCAACTCGAAAATCAAAGGAAACGATGGTTTTTATACAGATAATATAGAGGAATGCTCAAATAATGTAAAATATATAAAAAAAGTAAAATTTGAAGATAAAGTTTTGGTCTGGTGTGCGATTTTGACTAGGGGGATTTCCAGACCTTATGTGGGTCGAGTAAGGGGGGAAGATATTGACTCCGAAATGTATATTAACAACTGCCTCATCAAATTAGTTGATTTTGTACACCAACATCACGATGGAGACGATATAATGTTTTGGCCCGACTTATCGTCATGCCATTATGCAAGAGCAACTCAAAATTGGCTTCACCAAAAAAACATACCTTTTGTACTAAAAGAAAACAACCCCCCTAATTTACCTCAGGCCCGTCCAATTGAAAATTGTTGGACACTTTTATCTCGCTGAGTGTATGATGGAGGGTGGCAAGCCGAAAATGAACAACTACGGCGTAGAATTTTTAGAATGATACGCCAAATAGATGTTGTAGCCGTCCAGGACCTAATGAGCAACGTTCGCAAAAAATTTCATATAGTTGAGGAGCACGGGCCCCTTTATTTAGTTTAAGTTCATAATTTTGTCAGTTACTAAGTCGTTAATTATAGCAAATAATAAAAGTTTAAATAAAGTGATTCATTAAAAAAATACAGGGTTAAATATTTTGTGCCAAAACTATTGGGACATACTTTAGTACCAGTTGGCATAGTTATCAGGAGGCTAGGTACCCCAGAACCAACCCTACAACTGCCTGGCTGTCTAGCTTGCGCGTACATCCTTTAGGTTTATGGCACAACCTTTGCTGTGGATACCTAGTGCTCAAGGACTTCAAGTAAGATCAATACATATTAATAAGGACCCCATGTACCGAGATTTAGATATAACTACCGTCCATGTATTATTTACAGATCCTCCAAATAATATTTAACGATATTTCACAAATTTTATACATAAATTCTTACGAAATTATCGATAATAACTATATAGATTAATATATCATTAGATTTAATACTTACGATTGTGAAGATCGGCATAAAATCAAATAGTTCTATTTGAGAGCAGCTTATTCTTCAGAAATATTTTCATAATAATTTTAAATAATTGCGTGGCAATGTATATTTTTTGGGTAATTAGTTTTTTCTTTAAAAAATTAGCGGATGTTTATAATAAAAATTTAATGACTTATAGCTGTAATACTACATTAAACCAAATTTCATAATTTTTAGTAGAACTGCCTCTAGTTATAGGCTTTTTGTTTGATTTTCAACTTATGTCCTTTATATCCTCCTGTCATCTTTGGCTATTCGTACTACCTCTTAGTTTTCTTTTTTAGTTTCTGGAATCCTCTTTATAAGTGCTACAACGTCAGCAGAGTGTGTGTGTGTGTGTGTGTGTGTGTGTGTGTGTGTGTGTGTTGGCGCGCGTGTGTGTGTGTGTGTGTGTGTGTATGTGTGTGTGTGTGTGTGTGTATGTGTGTGTGTGTGTGTGTGTGTGTATGTGTGTGTGTGTGTATGTGTGTGTGTGTGTGTGTGTGTGTGTGTGTGTGTGTGTGTGTGTGTGTGTGTGTGTGTGTGTGTGTGTGTGTGTGTGTGTGTGTGTGTGTGTGTGTGTATGTATGTGTGTGTGTGTGTGTGTGTGTGTGTGTGTGTGTGTGTGTGTGTGTGTGTGTGTGTGTGTGTGTGTGTGTGTGTGTGTGTGTGTGTGTGTGTGTGTGTCTGTATAACGCATAACTCATGAACCGATACACGGAAAAACACCAAATTTTAAACTTAAGCTTTATTCCAGCGTCTAATGAGCTGATTAGATTTTGGGCAGAGTCGGAAGATCTGGGGGGGTACTTTATGGGTGGACATTTTTATATTTTATGGAATATATCTGTTATTTACGTTTGGAGAAGAAAATTTTTTAAATAAAAGTTACTTCTTATTTTATTATCTATAATTTTTTTTATTTACAAAATTTTCCTAAAATGGTCCGTATTCGAGAAATTTGACAAAATGTAAAAAAATATTTTTTTTATAAAAATTGTTTAAACAAAAGTTGTTTGTAATATAATTCTCTATAATTTTTGTCCCATAGATAATTTCTCTTAAATGGACCGTATTCGAGATATTTGAGAAAATGTGTAAATTTCGAAATTTGAAGAAAACTCAAAAACGGATAAAGAAAAAATCAATAAATTTTAAACTTAAGTTTTATTTCGGCCTGACGTGAAATGATTAGATTTTGGACAAAGTCGGAACATCTGGGGGGGTACTTTATGGGAGGCCGTTTTTATATTTTATGGAATATATCTGTTATTTATGTTTGGAGAAGAAAATTGTTCAAATAAAAGTTACTTCTAATATTATTATCTATAATTTTTGCTTTATGTAAAAATTTTTCGAAATGGTCCGTATTCGAGAAATTTGACAAAATGTGCAAAATTCTGATTTTTATGAAAATTGTTGAAATAAAAGTTGTTTGCGATATCGATCTCTATAATATTTGTTCATACATGATTTTTTTTAAATGGACCGTAATGGAAAAATTGTAGGAAAAGTGCTAAATTTAAATTTTTCAGTATTTTCATTTTCAATGAATATCTATAGAAAAATGTTTCGCGGTAGATGTATGTGGACAATGTATATATTTAGTTTATCCTCTAAACATTTATAGAAATGCTGCAATAGGTTGTACACAATAAACGGAAAAAGCCTGTAATAACTAGATAGGAAAGTCATCTGTTGGACACATAAGATTTTTAAATAATGTTTACAGCAACTTTAGCACGTGTAGCACTTATTAGTAAGGTGATATTATAATAGTGGATATATAAAATAAATTGGGATTATTTAAAAATATTTATTTACTAAATTAATACAAAATCTAAATTATTAGGCAGCAACGCACGCAGCGACTTGGCCCAAAACTTTTCCGGCATTTTTGAAATATGCAGGCACTTCATTTTTTACGCAGGCTGTGGCATCTTTGACCACGGATTTAACCTCGGTGATCACTGGTGTGAGTTCAGGTTTGATTTCAGATGGAATTTTGCCGAATACTTCGAAAAGCTCACCAGCAACCTAAAAATAATTTTTATGAAAGCATTGTCCATAAAACAATAAAAAGTAGATATAAACGCTCTGAAACTACACTACTAGTTTACAGAGAAAGTGAAAATCAGTACGTTGCGATTCAGAAATAAATTCACAAATTAATTTTACAAAATTATTAATTTTATGAGGCAAATAATACATAACTGTGTTAAAATGAAAATCATTTACCATTAAATGTTTCGTGTGTACATCTTTCTCAGTTTTATTATTTATAAAATTTATACCCAAACCCCCAAGGAGAAAATAAATGAAAAATTTATATAAAAAATCTACGTGCCATGAGCTAAGATCTAACGAATCATCTAGATCAACTAGATTTGTTCTCTAGTACTGTGACCACAAGGTTATTAGAACAAGACTTTAATTTGAATAAAATTTCAAAAGCCAGCATACATCTTTATTATTAGTGTTTACAAAATACTTACTTGAGCTACACAGAGAAGACCACTTAAATCACTTCCTTCGCAATCATCGATACCGTCAGCAGCAGCTTTGGCTTCAGTTTGGATACCCTCAAGATCCTTAACAAGAGGCCCCATAAGTTTGACTAACGCAAGCAAATCATCTGAAATGCACTTGCTTGAATCATCAAAGAAAGTGACAGGTACGTTGAGAATGTCATCTCTGGCAGCTACTACGCAGCCTGCCAATTTTTTGCCAGCATCAGAGCTCTCTACAAGAAGAAAATACAACTTTTTATATATAATGTAATAGTTCCACCCCAGAAAGGTTAAACTATTTCTGTACTCTAAATCTCTTAGATTTCTTTGGCCCCCTTCAAATTTTGAAATAAGTGTCTAAATGATAATAATTATTTGTTTTTCTTGTACTTGGTCCTCCTGCCTTCTGCTTTACCTCCTGACTTTCTATACCTTTCATTATACTGCCTGGTCTCCTCTCACTCTTATTCCTCCTCCTGCTGTACTACCCTCCCTGCTATACCCTGCTACCTTTTCTTCTTAACAACAAGTAGAAGTTCAAGAAGAAGAGAAGACTAATGAGTGTAAAAAGAAAGTGGATGTGATCAACATATTTCGGACATTAATGAAGATGAACAAGAAATGAGAAAAATAATGGAAAACATAAATTACAAATTGCAAAGAAGTTAGATTAGAATGCAAAAAAAGATAGATGAGACTAAAAAGAAGAAGAAGATGGAAAACCTGAGCCAGAAAAAAAAGACAATTATCATTCGAAATATTTAGGTTGTCAGTAGGATTTTATTTGTAAGATGTTTAAAAATAAGTTATGACGTTGAAATAAACAAGAAATGGAACATTTTTGTAACACATAACTATTATGTTTTTAAAAATTAAACTTCAATAGCTTAGGAAAAGTCCTGTCTGGTGCTGTCGCTATTATTTATTACAAGTGGATTTAAATATAATTATTGAAAATGGTTATAGTATAATGTAATAATATAATTTATTTTTCAAAAATAAAAAAGAAAATCAAAAACAAAAAATACAAATTTTAAAAATAAAATTGACTAAATACAAATTCTTGACATTTAAAATTTAGTTGCAAATCAAGATGAAAATAACGAAAACGTTTTTTGATCCATCTTTTTTTTAATACTTTTTTAGTATAAAGTATTATAAATTTATATACAGGGTTAGTCGGGATTAGCGCACCAAACTCTAGGAGTATATTATACACGTGAAAATAATGTAAAAAAACTCATATGTTCTTATCCGATTTTCATTTGTTTTCAAGTTATAGCATATTAACAAATAAACAAATTTACACATAAAAATTCTCTTATTCTAAATTTGAATAAGTATCTGGCATTTTGCAATACTAACAATCACATAAATTAGAAATTAAACGTTCAGTTACTGTTCACTGTACACTGACAGTTCATCAAACCGTCAGAATTATCAAATGCCTTTAAGCCTTGAACATATGGCATACTTTGATAATGTTAAAATTCAGAAGTGGAAAGCTAGATGAACATTTTTAATTACGCCATAACTTGAAAACAAATGAAAATCGGATAAGAACATATGAGTTTTTTCACATTATTTTCACGTGTATAATATACTCCTAGAGTTTGGTGCGCTCCTTCCGACTCACCCTGTATAAATAATTAGGTATAATTTTTCTTCTGTTTGTGTACCTATTTTTTTTCTTTATTTTTGTTTAGGAGCTACTGACGTGCTTTAGTGTTTTTTTTCAACCTTCGATATATATATATATATATATATATATATATATATATATATATATATAAAATCCACTGATTATGAATTATGATTGACTTATAAAATTAGCCTATAGCAAACATGAACACCCTTTAATTTCGAACTTACATGGACAATATTACATGGACGGACAGAGGACTTAGAAAAACGAAAATTAAACTTGTGTCCCACTACTCCAACTTCCTTTCTTTATTCCTCAGCTACGCCTAAATGATAAGGAATAAAAAAAAACTAATAGCGGGGCCTTGGGCTCCCATCCGAAATGATTTCATGCCGCCCAACTTTCTTCCCCCTACTTCTCCGCCTCAGAGGAAGTCGACATATGGAACTGCTAGACTTACTTCGGGTATGATGGAGTGGACTTTAAGGCGAAAAATGTATATTTACGTTCTTTATCGTACATCTTAAGTAAAGGGCCTTTCGTTATGACAAAAATATAATATCTATCTTATTTCACCTCGTTTGTTTTATGTCTCTATTTTCTTCCCTTTAGTAGTTTACGTCCTTAAAATTGGACTACATTTAGTAGCCGCCCGTCATTTTAATATTAGTTATAATAAGAAGTAATGATCTTAACCCCTGGTCTAGCGATCTATTCATGTCAGTTTATCAAATTAAATTACTGATTGTCAAAATAATTTTCTAACAAAGATACATTTATCCGATAAGGGAGTTTGCGGTTTTGTTATTGATAAAGTTTGGCAACTTAAGAACACGTTTTTCTTACTTACCAGATCCCATATTAGTTACATCTAATAGGATTTTATCAAGACCTACGCCAAGAACTTGTTTGGTAATAAAAACTATTTTAACTTGAACATCATTCCATTTTTCTGGTGTGATATTATTAATAACTTTTTCAGCTTCTGTAACCAACCAATCCAAACTTCCTTCGACAACTTTTACAATTTTTTTTGCAATGCCAATTATATCGATATCTTCGACGGATTGGGTTTGGGGTTGAGGTACGGCCTGTGCCTATAATATAAAAAGTGTAAAAACATTTATTTTTCATCTTTCTACTATTTAAAATAAGAATAAAATCAATAATGTCTCGTCTACTAATGACAACTACTGCATTGCAACGGTATATAATTATTCTTTTATTTGATTTTGATTAATGAGAAAAACCTCATTCTTGGACCTATTCCGTCTTTATTAGGACTCGTCAAAATAAACGTTATCGTTACCAGTCTCTGGTATGCGTATGAATAAAGAGTTTTTCTCTGGCATTCTCAAACGTTTTTAGTTTTAAAAAAATATTATTGACTCTCTAATAGACTATTTAATTAACAAGGAATTTGGTGAAAAAAATATCAAAAATTGAAATATATGAAATGAAGCATACCAATTACTAAAAGTCAGCAAAGATTACGATCTTTTTTAAGAAATATATTTTCAAGAGCTTCATCTTTAATATTTTCTAGTATATCTATTTTATAAAGTTTACAAGACTGACTATAATGAACAACCGTAACAATACTAGATAAGTGATTTAAAATGTAACAAACTTATTTTCTATTTGAGTGTGTCATAAAATCGAGTGGAGAACTTTTAAATATACTTCAAATGAACTGCTGAATTTAGAAGTGTGTGCAACAAGAGTGGATATGAACAATTGACTCAAGTTGTATATTATATTTTTTCTGCGACCCATTAACGAAAATTTACAAATTTAAAAAATATATAAGGATATTAAAACAAAATAACTAATTTTAAAATAATTTATGAATATTACTAATTTATAAAATAAAATAAATACAAAAACCAATTTTATTTAGTAAGTCCCCAGCCCATATTCGAACTCGGGCCGCCGCGCTATTAGGATTTTAGTTTTATACTCATAATTAAATAAGTTTCATATAGTTTAATTAAAATTAATTTTTTTTTTAAATGTGGGTCAAATAAATTTAAAAATGCTTATATTTATTAATTCTACGCAAAAATTGATTTAAATGTATAATTAATCTCAATACTGACAATTAGTTTGCTAGAACTGTCACGTATTTTAAATTTTAAAACTCATAGTAGATGGGTGTCCAAAATATGAACCGCGATTGGTGGATTTCATTTTTTTTTTGCAATGTTGTCACTACCTAGAATGTATATGAAATATATTCGTTTAGTTACATAATAACATGCTTTTTAGTTTTGTAGTCTGGGCGTAAATAAGCTAATATCCATGTGGGTGAAGAACACAATATATTACATTAAGAGTGTGGAAAGTGACATTTTTAACAGGAGTGGGAAATATTGTCGCACGAAGCATAAGCCGAGTGCGACAATTACACGAGTGTGAAAAATTACTTTTTTTAGAAGTGAATATTTTTCTACGTCGACAAAATAATTTAATCATAAAATTTAAAACTTATCTGGCCATAAATTTTTCATCAAGATGTGGCTGGTTTTAGCTTTGTTTTCATACGCCCTATTGAATAATTTTTAAAGCGTTGTTCAGATGGTGTTTTGTCAAAATTAAAAATAATGTGATTTCTTTTACAATTTATTTTTATGGGATGATAAAGATAAAATAACATTCAGTACAAAAAATATTAGAACGTATTAATGTTTTTTATTTGAGTATTTTATAACAAATAAGTTCAACAACCGTGTAGAAACATTTTTTTTTATTATTAATGATTACCCATTTCTTTACCGACAATTTTTCTGGACAGTAATAAAAATTATACAAAATAAATAACGAAAATAATATTGCAGCAATTATATTATCATAAATAACATGTATTTTAATTAAATAAACAAAAATAGTCGTATTTTTCCAATTTTCACATTTTTTCAAAATAAAAAAAATGAAAAAGAACAATTCATCAGGAATTGAACCAGCATCACAAAATGGTTGCGAAATTCCAAGTTGAAAAAGTTAGACACTATACGATCTGCGCTATCACTGTTTTATCATTTGACTTTTCTAATTAAATATGTATACCTATGAACCAGGAAGAAGCAAAAATAAATTAGGTAGTTACTTCAAAATTATTTTAGTAATTTATTAAAAAAAATATCTTATATCTTTATTTAAAAAGTGATGTTGACAATTAAATCATTAAATCGATTTTACTATTAAAATGGACATTACATCAATCAAAATAAAAATTAGGCATCTGAGATATTTCAGAGCTGATGCGGATTCATATTCACACATCGGTGGAAAGTAGATTTATCCACACGCGTGTGATATAGGGCACTTTTCATGAGACTTAATAATGCGATAGGTGTCACTTTCCTAAGTGGTTGTAGGGAAAATACTTTTACGTTTCAGACCGCAAAAATAAAGCGGCTCTGCTATCTAAACATTCTGTTTTATCATCATTTTACCTTTTATTACTGCTGACAATTTTTTTTGCTATCGCATAATTCCCTAATTCACCCCCTTACGAGTTAATTTTAACCCCAAAAGCTGAGCTTGTGCGGGGAAAGCGACGGCTATTATTATTATTTGCCGTGGCGCTCCGGGCAACTTAAAGATAATTGATGGTGCAACTTGACTTACAGGTGAGAAAAACCCGAAAAACCTCACCCACCATCATCGAGACGGTAATGCATGGCGATTTTTATAATTTGCATGTCATATCAACAGAAAGTAAATTTCTATTAATACGGCACACGTCAAATCCTATACCGAGTCATGCAATTTAATTAAAAATCTACATGGTCTGGGGTAGGATTCGAAGCCCATCTGTCTCTGACCATAAACTTGCCTATAAATCAATATAAGAGCGTGAGACTGCTACATATATATGTAGTATTGTAAATTGGGCACTGACGATATTGACCGGACACTAACGTCTGCAAAATGCCCAATCAAATAGAAGATTTACGAAAATGACCGGCCAATACCGTTAAAGACCGAAATATCATCTTTGACCGTAATATATTCATTAAATTTAAATAGGAAGCATTTTTAATTGAATACGAGAAAAACAAAGTAAACTATAATTAAATCAAGTGGTCATTAAAAAATTATATTTTACATACCTGGTAAACTAAAAATGCGGCGCAAAAGAGAAGAGTAAATTTAAAAGTTGCCATTTTGCCTCTTGAAATTCAAAAAAATGCTAAACTGAATTTAATTTAATCTATCACTGCTTATATACGTTTCTCTAGTCAGTTTTTAGTCTCTAGATCAAGTAGTTTTGATTATCTTTTATTTGATTTAAAAGATTCCATTAAACAACTATTATCATGTTTTTTTAATTTGGAACACCTGCGTTTGTTGTTATCAGAGTTTTGTTGTTTTAAAATAATTATAATATAATGATTATGATGAAACCTATTTTTTTACAAAAAGAAATTTGGATTCGTAGTTCAAGAGGTTCAACTTTCTGGGATTAATAGATTAGATTGAGATTAAAGAACACCACACTTTTCATGAAATAAACATGAATTACTTACGAGTGGTGTAGATATATATAAAAATATTAATTCTGCACTCTATATTTTAACTCTTTTACCCTGTAGAACTGCATTTACATACTAAATTTTAAACAAATTCTGATAATACCTTGTTGAAACGATTTATACAATATGTAACAATTTTTTGCGTGAAATGAGAATAAATATAACAAGCCGACAAAATTCTGATAGAATTCAAAAACTCCTATCCTCCTTTCACCTTTTACACCAAAGCTACCTACATCAATGCCCAGGCAACAAGGACGGTGCAAAGTTGACGTCGATATTTTAAAAGGTTTTGTACATTAGAAATTTGCATACAAAACTCAATACAATTATTGTTTACAAAATTTATATTATAAAAATAATATTTTACTTACTTCCACAAAATTAAACTTTTTTTCCATCTTAGTGTCATCGGAAAAATCGTAATCAGACTTAAGAGATCGTCTATGGAAATAGTAGCATTTTCGCCATCAACAACAGTAAAAAATGTTTCATTCCTTGCTATTACGGGGTACGGTCCATTATAAAGTTGTCGCAAAGATCCAACACGAACAGATAAATGGGATCAGTTTGACATGTCCTTAAAAACGAATTCTAAAGGTTTAGAATGGATATTATTGGTATTGTTTACGCAACTGTGCAACATAGTAACTGGGAGGTATATCGGTGTTATCGTGTGGAAAAAAAGAAGTCTGGAGGTAAACGAATTGATTCTCCTTAAACAATTTCTTCAATCGTTGCATTGAGATCTTCTATATATACCGCCAACATGCCCATAGGGAGAAATGGTAAAACTTCTACTTAATTATGAGTTCGTAGTTAAGAATTGAAGCTTTTAAGAGTATATGCCATCTTTCAATAATTCCATTAGCTTATAAATGATAAGTGGTGGTTCTAAAAAGTTTGACTCCAAATATTCTGGATAATGATTTAAAAAGATCACTATCACATTATCAACTTTGATCGGTTGTTATTCAAAGAGGAATGCCTAATCGACAAATCCATGAGGAAAAAAGTGTTTTAGCCACCGTGGCAGCTGATATATTACGAACTGTCTATAATTGTTAAGCAAAATCCATACCCGTAACACGATGGCAATGGATTAACTAATTCTATATGCAAGTGATCAAATTTAGAACTAGTTTGGAAACTTCTGATTTGAGACTTGATGTGACGAGTTATAATTTTTGAGCTTTCACAAAGGATTTAAATTTTAACCCATTTTCTACAATCTTTTATAATAGCAGACCAGACATATCTTTCCTTGGCTAATTTAGTGCGCACGTATTCCAGGATGGGAATATCTATGAAGAAAATCAAAAATTTTCTTTCGAACAGGTTTAGTGACGTAAGGTTAAATAGAAGGAATAATAACCTTTTCTAATTTTAAGGAAATACTATTATGTGCGAGCAAATTTTGTAATTCTGTATCAGTATCCTGTGATTTAGCGAGTGCATGGATGTCCAATAACTTATCTATAACATCAATTTTACTAAAACAATCTGACACAAAATTTTCATTACTTCTCACATGTCTAAGAGTAGTAGAAAATTGTCCTATAAAATCAATATACCTAAATTGCCTAGGAAGGAGATGCTTTTTAAGATTTCTGACAAAAAGCAAATAAAATGTTAGCGGTTTGTGATCCGAAAATATGATAAATTCACGACATTCGAGGTAGTGGCGATTTATATATAGGGTGTCCTATTAGTGCATAATTGGTCAAAATTTTAAGACACAAACACGCAAAAAAATTACAAATAAAAAATATATGAATTTAAAAATAAAAAATACAACTTTAAAATTTTTATTCAATTTATTACAGAATTTCCAAGAAATTAATTTTTTTATGAAATTGGAGAAGGAGCAGACTCCAAAATAATTTTTCATAATTTAGGTAGGTTAACATTGAGTTCAAAATTGTTTAATATGCAGACTTACAAGATACTAAGCTAACGAATAGTGGTAAGAGAACTGGTTTATTTTATACAGAGTGTTTCAAAACATGTCTTAAATACGGCTAATTTAAAGTTAAAGTCACCTAATTTTTTTAAATGCATTATTTAAAATTTAAAAAAGGAAATAATTTCTTCTTTTTAGTAAATATTCCAAGAGTTGTTTAATTTTGTATGTCTGAATTTTCTCCCCTTTATTAGCTATTTGATAAATAAACTACAAATAAATTTAATTTTTTTTTTAAATTAACTACAAATAAAGATAATTAATTTTTTTTTTATTCATTAATTTACTTGTTTCAAATGTATTACTTACTTTCTATAATTGAATTTTTAAGGAATTTATAAGTACAGCTAATTAAAATTCATTACAAAAAAGGAAAGTATAGTGAGAGCCATTTTAAACAAGTTCGGCAATGTTCCAATATCTTAAGGTGATTACAGCACACCCTTATAATTTTCGGACAAGCATATCTCAAAAAGTAATTTTTTTTTAAATAAAATTTTGGCAAAATAAATAAGGCAATAATATCTAGAATATACTGATATTTCAAAATTTAAATTATTTTCAGTTTCCAAGAAAAAAAATCAGTGGGCTTTAAATTTTGAAATATCGCAATGAAAATAAATGCATTCCTCAACAGCAGTATTCTTAATGTAATCCCCAAAGTTAAGCTCTTAATCTCTTGTTAATGATTTTTTAAAATTCGCCCAGTTAAGTGCTGCTTTCTGGTGTAACGCGTCTGTAACTATCGTATCGTACACTCTGAGTCATCATTTATTTCTTGCAACGATTTACACCCGTTTACACCAGTTTAAACCAGAAAATAGCACTTAACAAGGCGTTTTAGCCACTAATTTCGGCGAATTTTTAAAAATCATTTACAGGAGATTAAGAGCTTTAATTTGGGGATTATATTAAGAATAGTGCTGTTGAGGAATGCATTTATTTTCATTATTATATTTCAAAATTTAAAGCCTTTTGATTTTTTTTCTCGGAAACTGGAAGGAATTAAAACTTTAAAATATATGCATATTTTAGATATTATTGCCTAATATATTTTGCCAAAATTTTTGAGATAGTTAAACTTTCGATATGGTTTACCCTTATTAATTCTTCATCGTTATATGTGTTTTTATTACCTAGCTAAGCTAGAAATTTATTTTACAAACACTAGAAGTACATTTTATTCTTAAATCTAAGCTAGCAAATTATAGTCTATCACACAATACACTATACAATACATTGTACAATATAGATATCAAATAATAGAAGCATACTCTATTGTGAGAAAAATATCCTATTTTACTTTCCTACTTTGCGTTGTATCACTGTGACTGTAAATTTCAGATTCAATGTGATGAATTTCAAGCTTGTTTTTTTGTAGTTGTAGAATTCTTGAAAAGGCACAAATTCGTGCCAACGAATCGTGAATTTAAAGCTGATATTGCATCTAATGACAACTGTTACCGTTTCAAATCTATTACGTGACAAATTTTCACCTGATGAAGTCGAATCTGCAACTAGTGAAGTTCTTGACTGTGAGTACTCGAATAATAAACAGGCACTGACAAGTTTCAAGTCGTCTCTTTCCAGCTTTTATTGTTGAGTATGCAGCTCTGTGTTTGTCTATTTTTATTTACACTTGTTGACTATGTGTCTCACTAGATTGTAAAAGGTTTATTGAATAGTTGTCAGTTTTTTGAATAAATAAAAAAGTATAAGTCTGAAGCAATATATTTTATTCCAAAATATTCAAAAGGTTATGAGCCCAGGCCGACGCTAAGAATAAAGGAATATAAATATTAAATATGGACAAGTTTCCATAATTTGAAAAACTACATGGAAAACATAATTTTCATTCATGGAAAACCATGGCATGTGCGTATTTTGAGTTGACTAATTTAGAAAAATTAGTATTTGGCGAGGAAAAGGATCCTGCGCTTCAAAAGAAGCCTGCAGAAAATGCCGCAGCTAAAGAATATATTGAACAATGCGAAAGTTAGAGATACAGACATTCTGTTGCTAAAGCATTTATTCTCTTTAATGATTCAGATATTGTACTACAAATTACATGTTACCCTGACGCAGTACGTATGTGGAACGCCTTAAACAACATTTTTGATAAGAAAAATGAATATTCCTTAAATGATTTGGTTAAGACTATAGTTGGTATTAAGTGTGAATCTGTAAGAACTATTCCTGAGCATATTGGAAAATATAATGCACTTTGGGCAAGATTAATTTAAAGAACAGCAATCCCTTCTAATGACACTGACAAAGAATCACTGGAAGCAGCATTAAGACCATTGGCAACCTCTGTAAAAGCAAAAGGATCACTATTTTTAACTACGTTACCAAGTGAAATCGATAACATTATACATAATTTGACAACCAAAGATTATTTAACTTATGATGATGTATGTACCAGATAACTTGAACTTAATGTACTAAATACGGGGTGTGTAATAAACAAAGAGTGTGGTGAAAATAAGCATTTTTAAGTAACCAGAAAAAGAAAAATATTCTTAAATACCAATCCTTAGAATACTCCTTCTGCAAAGAAAATAGAAGGTGATATAAAGAACACACTATTAATAATTGCAGAAATAAAAGAAAAAATTATTAAGCAAATATTACCTTAGCTATATCTGATTCTGATGAAAACATAGCATATCTAACTTTTACTCATAAGAGAAGGAACTGGCAGTGGATGGAAAAAGTAAAATTCAAAGGAATATGTTTGCATATCTCTAAAAAAGCACAAGCAGCTGGAAGAAAATTTTGTCCCAGATATTTTGACATTGTGATGGTAGGTTATGCTAAAAAAATGGGTGGTATCGATTTTATGATGGCAA